GGCCGACGCGGCCGACCAGGCAGATGAGACGACGACGGCGCTACTCGAGCTGGTGCGGTCCAGGCGCGCCGCAGCGCCGAGCAGCGTGGCGCATCTGGCGCGGCCGACTTCGACGGCGCTCGGGCCGACGCTGTTCGTGGGCGACCTGAAGCTGTCGACGCTCAAGGCGGCGCTGTCGAGCTCGAGCTACCGGCTGGCGTCCGAGTTTGCCGGCGAGGGCATGCTCGTCTGCGGCGCCCAGAACGGCATCGAGGCCGTCACGGTGAAAAAGGAGAGCCAGGGCCGCATCGTCATCGAGGGCAACGTGGGGCGGAGGGTGCGCGACGTACGCAAGGCCGTCTACGAGCTGCACGCCCGCGTCTGAGCCGCGTCGGCCAATGCGAGGGGAAGAGGCCTGGCAACCCCCGCCGGAGGACGGCAGTTGGCAAGCAGGAGCGCGTGGTGGGTCAAAGGTAGACCACAGTGCAATTTGCATGGCGCCATTTGTTGGCAGAGTGGTTTGATGGTGGTTGTCGCCGTTCGACGTCTCCCATGGATCGAGAGCAGCGCAGTGGGGAGACACGGTCGTGATGTCGAGAGCAGCGGGGGTTATCGAGCCACATGGCCAGGCGTGATCGGAGCACGGCGTCCGGCACATCCTTGGTGGGGCGGGTTGAGCGCCGGGGCTGTGTGAGAGTCGCGTAGAGTGCAGAGGAAGTGTCTCGAACCGTGTCGTGTCCCCCTGTCGCCGTGTACGTACGTACAGTACCCACAAAGCGCCAAGTTGACAACGGCCGGGACGAGTCGTCGGTACGGTACACGGTACGTACTGTAAGAGCAGGCTGGGACTTCCTCCAGCATGGATGCGGCGTCTCCGCCATCCGGGAGGCACAGTAGGGCGGGCCGATGGGTGAAAGCGATAAAAATAGAAGTTAAGGCCGTGCTGTCTGCCGCGTAGGTGGCGCCGCGGCAGGACCATGCCAGGCCTGGCCGCATCGGGAGCCTGGCCTGCTGTGGCGGGACGAGCTCGGGCAGGACAGGCAGGCAGGCAGGCAGGCAGGCAGGGCTCCGGCGTCCGCTGCAAGATCGCGTCGGCTTCTGGGCATCAAGCAGAAAAAAAACCCTCGGCAGCGCACCGCCGACGTCGGAGGATTTGGCAGGCTGCGCGTCGGCTGGGCTGGTGCGTCCTTCCTTACGTCAACCTGGCTTTGACGTCGACGACACGACGCGCGTCGTACCGCTCATTGGGCGTACAGGATGGCGTGCATGCTGGTGCGGTCTCGGATTCGTTGGGCGTAAGCCTGTTGCAGGTGGCCGAGGCACAGGCTGAAAGAGAGATGAAGGCAACGGCTCGTGACACCTACCGTGGACGAGTCCTGGACACCTCAGGAGCTGGTTCATCGCGCGGATGGTGGTGCCGAGCAGAACGACGATGAGCCCCTCGCCGGCCAATGGTGGTTGTCAGGGCATGGCGGGGCAGGAACGCTGTACCGTTGCGTGGGCGACCGAAGAATTAAAACTCGCTCCCCCCAGTTCCCCCCTGCCCCGCCCGCGGCTCGACGCCTTCCTATTTCGTCACTGTGCACCCTTGCGCCCGGGGAGGGCGGAATGTTTGCATCGAGCAGCGCAACCCCCTTGCCGACCGCCATTCCCCTACCCCGTCGTCCGCCGCCGCAAACAGACGGTGCGATGGTCGTCGCCAAGAAGGGCGAGCTTCTCGGTGTGCGGCGGGACCTTTGGCAACCTGCACCTCCTGTAGCGGCCTCTTGCCTAGCCTTCGGAAACGGTCAACCGAGGACTCGTTCGTTTCCTGCCGCCGTACGGGGCTTCCATCGTCCCTGCTGGCTTTGTGCGTGCGTGAGTGCGTCCTGATGCCGCCCGCTTCTCCGATGCAACCCGCCGTCGCTCGCAGCTGGCTGGCATCGAAATCGCCGACGAGACGAGGCGAGGCGAGACGAGTGCGGCGGCGGCGGCGGCGTTCAGGTAAGGACTGGCGTGCGTTCGTGCGGCTCCGCTCAGCCCCGGCCTACCTAGCTTGTCGATCCGTAAGGTGAGCCCCGGAGCGAGAAGAACGTCTTCATCACAGTACGTAGGCGCTTCGCTACCTCCTGGCTGCTAACGAGAGGTGTCTCAGAAACCTCGCATTCGGATGGAGGCCCGGCGAGGCGATGGCGCACTGTAGTGCCCACGGACGAGGGAATGGCAGTACAGCCTGCCTCGATGCCCTTCTCTAGGAATGACGACGCACAGTACGTCCCACCGTCTGCCTTGGCTCGCCCTCGCCTTTGTCGCCTACCAATGCAAGCGAGAGGGCCCACCAGATCGCCGTCGCCCCTGTATCGGTGGGAACCGACGACGACTCGTCCCTGACCCAATCTGTGTCCGAGGACGCGATTTGGTACTTAAGGAAGGTCCGGTCTTGACCTTTGAGGATCGTTCCGCTCACCCAACAGTTACCATTTCACGCTGGCCCTTTGATTTCCGCCGCACCACCTCCCATCGACCAACCGCCTTCTGCAACGCCGCCGTACGACGACGACGACGACGACCGTTCATCGCCGCCCGTCATGATCCGATCCCCGTCGAACCACTCGCACCACACTGCCGGCGAGCCATCCAACGGCGCCGTTCCCAACACCGGCATGGGTGAGTCCAGCCCGCCGCCGACGCGTCCTGCCGCTTCGGGCGCTAGCTGACACATCCGCCGTTCCACCTCCCCCTCTGCGCGCACGCTCGCCATCCTGCCACGACAGCGGAAGCCTCGGACAACTCGGCCTCGATCATCTCCCCCGGCAACCGATCGTTCTCTGGTACGTGCAAAGACAGGCTGGGCGCCGCGCTCTGCAACGCAAGCTGACCGCTCCGCATGGCCTTGCCCCCTCCTCCTCGCACTCTACAGGCTCTCACCCGCCCGGCCACGCTCTGCGCAGCTCGCCGTCCGGCCACTCGCTGACGGGCGCGCCCTCGGGCACGCAGGCCTTTGTGCAGCCGACCGAGGCGGCCGTGATTGAGAAGCAGCTGCCGTCTTTTATGAAGATCGATGAGGCCGAGTTCGAGAAGGCTCGTCACCCGCAGCGACGACGCGACATCCTCCGACGCCGCCTCGAGCTCAAGAACAACGCCGTCGCGGCTGTCAGCGAGTTCTGCGGCACCTTCCTCTTCCTCTTCTTCTCATTCGTCATCGCCACCCAGGCCGCCAACGGCCGTGCAGCCTCGCAGAACAACAACGTAGACCAGGGGACCCAGTCTCTCTCACAGAACGCCCCGCCGGACACCTCGTCCCTCCTCTACTCGTCGCTCGGCTTCGGATTCAGTTTGGCCGTCAATGCCTGGACCTTCTACCGCGTCTCGGGAGGCCTCTTCAACCCCGCCGTCACGCTCGCCCTCACCCTGACCAAGGTGCTCAACTGGAAGCAGTGCATCAGCCTCACCATCTCTCAGATCATCGGCGGCATCGCTGCCGCCGCCGTGTGCGACGCCATCATCCCCGGCCCCATCAACGCACGCACATCCCTCTCTAGCGGCATCTCGGTCGCCCAGGGATTCTGGCTCGAGTTTTTCCTCACCGCCCAGCTCATCTTCGCCGTCTTCATGCTGGCCAAGGAGAAGCACCGCGGCACCTTCCTCGCTCCCGTCGGCATCGGACTGTCTCTGTTCATTTCCGAAATGTGCGGGACCAACTGGACCGATGAGTATTACGTTTAATGATGCGGAGATGATGGTGACGACGATGGTGACGACGATGTGGTCGGCGACGGAGGAGAGGTGCAAGGCTGATCGACGTGATATATTTCCCCTTCTGCTTTTTTTCTTACACGCGGCAGCCTGAACCCGGCGCGTTCCTTCGGTCCGGACGTGGTGCTGGGTCGCTTCGACTCGTACCACTGGATCTACTGGATCGCTCCCTACGCCGCCGCCATCTTCACGTCCGGCTTCTACATCCTGCTCAAGTACGTCCAGTACGAGTCGGTCAACGAGGGACAGGACTCGGACGAGAGCAAGCAGGTGCTCCGCGACGCTTCGGGTACCATCGTCGGCGTCCTCGACTCGGTGCCGACGCACGAGTTCCACTATATCAACGAGGCCACCGTCGAGCAGGGCCAGGCGCCCAACGCCGTCACCGACAACGCCCGGTCGTCGTTTGGCGCTCGCTCCGCTGGCGAGCCCGTCGAGCGCATCCGCTCCCGCAGCGAGCACGGCAACTCGACCCTCGGTGGCCACGGCAGCTTCTCGCCCATCAAGCGCGAGTTTGACAGCGAGCACGCGGCACGCATGGCATGAGCCCCAGCCTGTCTGTCTGTCTGTCTATCTGCCTCGCCTCGTGCGCTGTATGTACATATGCTGGCCCTCATCGAGCGCCGTTTCCTCTAATTGTTCATCGACCTATGCTTCTCCGCAGCCGGCAGCGGCGTGCTCGCCGCGAATGCAAAGGTGGTGTTTGTGCCCTTTGTTGCCTTGGACGAGTGTCGGACCTCGCCCGTTTCGTCAGACCCTCCCTCCCTCGGACTATGTTAAAATGCAGCTCGGGCGGCTTGAACCGGCTTCTTTGCGCTTGTTGGCCTGCTTGCTTGCTGGACTGTTGTCTTGATGGAAATCAACTTGCTCCTGCTGCATTGTAGGGGTCCAACACCAGCAGCTGAGAACATCAAGGCAAGGATAGCGCCTTGCTCAACAACGGAATGGCAGGAAGAGGATCTTGCACTTCAAGCAAACATCAAGTACCTTCAGCACACAAGTTGGTGGCACCCTCTGCTCTTGCAAGGGACCAACATGGTGCTGCAACATAGCTGCAGCCATTGTCTTGGCAGGCTAAAGTCAAGAGTCTTGATGGCCAGCTCTGTCATCTGTGCTATGTGGCTGCCATTGGGCTGCTGCAGCTTCTTACACCTGATCAGTGAGCTGTTAACTGGGCATCCTGCAGATATGCTTGCCTTGCAGCTCTGAGCACAACAAACTGCTAAGCCATTGAGTCTGTGCACAAGGAAGCAAGGATGTCAGGGTCAGTGGCGGCAACATTGACCAGCGTCTTCGCAGGAGACGGACTTGCCTTGAGTTCCCATTCCTGCCATGTTTGAGAAGGGGTGGAACCCCATGGCCTTGGAGGCCAACAGCTGGTAGTAGCGCTGAAAGAGCGCTACCCACCAGAGGGCCCCACTCTTGCCGCTGCTTGTTGTGAGCATCGTCTTGATGTCAATGTTGAGCGTCTTGCCGATTTCTTGCACTCGTTCCATTTGCTTTGTTGAGAGCTTGCTTCGATGCAGTCTGTTGGAGACATGAGAGTAAGGTCAGCTTCCCATTGGGCAGGTCGAGGCGGAAACAAGCGAAGGTCTACTTACCTTTTGAGCTGGTGGCCATTCTTTTGCCTTTCTGTCTTTTCCCAGGGCAGCTGCAAATTCACTGCCTTTCTCAGCTTGTGCACTGCTAACAAGAGGTGGGACATGAGGCAAGAAGTGCAACAGACCAACAAGGCCAAAGTTGGTCTTGAGCAGTGATGTTGTCAGGGCCCCTTGATCTTTCTTCTGCATGAGGCCTACTAGATCACCACTTTGGTTTGTTTCAGCTGGTCAATCATCTTGTATGCCATCAAAAGGAAGTACTTGTGGAATACAGAGTCCCACCAGAGGGCACTGCCGCTGCCACCTTTCATTGAGAGTATGCGCTGCATGTCAATGTCAAGGGCGGCAGTGATCTCCCTGGCCCTCTCTACAGTCTCCTTGTCCAAGGCGCCCTTCTCAAGTCTGTATAGGCAGGAAGTCAGCGGCAAGGTCATGCTGACTGGAAACAAGAGGCGATGGCACACTTACCTCTGCAGCTGGTGACCAGACTTTGAGGCACTTTGCAAGTTCCCAGTGCGCTTCAGCTCCTTCATCTTGGCAACAGCATCGACAAACACCTTCTGGGTGAGATCTGCATGCTCTAGCCAGAACTTCTTCTGGCTGAGCCATGCGTGGATGAAGCAGAGGTTGTCGGATTGGGTGGTCAGGCAATGAGCAAAGAGGATCAGGTTGAGAGCTTCTTGATGCAAGGCAGATTGTTGTGGCCATAGAGTTGAGTTGTCACCATCCACAGCATGAGGCCGATGTCCTTCTTGAGGATGCCTTCAATCTTGGTTGAGTACGCAGCAACGTATTTGGCAGTGGCAGTCAAGCTGGTGAAGTTGCACCCGTGGAACAAAGAGGGCAAGGCGGCTGTCGGTATGTTCACCGAGAGTGAGAAGGTCCTCTTGCCATGGTCAATGAGGATGTTGGTCATCTTGGTTGTCTTTGATGTGGTGGAGATTGGGTGAAGATGGATGAATGGGGAGCAGTGAGGGCAAGAGATCCTCAGGTCATTTGCCTCAGTCAGCACAAGTGACCTCTTCTGGGCTTACCTTTGAGGCATGTTGCAGGTGGTCAAGGCCATGCAAGCCTTTGGTGACTGGAGCTCAAGCCATGGTCATTGAGCTGCAGCAGTGTGCACATGCACCTTGACATCCTGTGTGATGGTCCTACACAGTCATACCCAAGCCTGCAGCACCAAGTGACGCTTGCTTGATGCATCCTCAGGGCTACTGCAGCAGTGCCATCCTGACGTGGCTGCTGACCTGAACAGCAGCAGTGACAGGCTCTGGTCACAGTTCAACCAGCTGCCTCATGTACTGCAGGGGACAGAAGTGCACAGATGCAGAATGAAGCAGAGCATTGTGCTCGTTGGATTGAAGCAGACAATGGGCCACCGTTGCAGAGCAGTGCCGAGTAACAGCGCCCTCCCTGGTCGTTGTGGTTCGAGCCGTTGAGGTTCGGGCGGTCTGCAGCAAGCGGGGGGCCAAAGCAAGCCGCCAGCAAGTTGCCCGGCTGCCTGTCGCGTTGAGGTTGAGCCCCCTGATTCGCGACGGGCCTCCACTTTTTCTCTTTTCCCTGAAGACGCGGTTGGGAGACGCGCGACGCTCGCTGCAGCCAAGGAAGGATTCGAGATTTTGGCAGCAGGCTGAGGTCGCGGCACCCGTCTTAAAGCTGGCTCGGCGGGGGCTCAACGTGCACCTCTTCCTTGTACCACCATCACCGACGACGACGACGACGACTGCTCGTTCTCGCCGCTATCTCTCCCGTCGGCCCTTCGGCCCTTCAAGAGACTTCACAACGACATCCCGAGCCACGCCCCTCGACGTCTAACATCGGCTGCCGGGTCACCGCGGACCCCTTTCACCACCGCCCGCCATGGACAGCCTGCCTACGCCCGCCCCTTCGTCGGACCCGCCGATGCCGGGGTCGTCGCCCATCAAGCGGAAGCACCCCGCGGGTCGTGCCAGTGCTCCCTTTGCCTCGGCTCCCGGCCTTCCTCTGACCTCCCTCGACCTCAACCTCGCTGCGGACCGCGTAAAGGCCTTCCACGCCGACCGCCAAAAGGCCGGTCAGACACCGCCCCCCTCGTCGCCCACGGCTCTAGCACCGAGCTCCTCTCCGCCAGCCCCGGTCTCGGGCGCATCCCCCTGCAAGGAACAGAGGATGCCCCGGCGCAGCGACGTGTCCGTGCCCCTCATCCCGCTTGCGTCGCACGACGCCGCCGACCACACCGCACCTACGGAGCCCCTGCCCATCGACGTCGGCCTGGAGCCGAACCCGGACGGATCCGAGGCCGCTGAGGTGCCCCACCTCCTGTGGGCCTGCCGCACCCACAGCCTCGTCGTGGGGCGCTCCAAGCCGTCGGGCATGCCCCACGCGTCCTGGCGCAAGGAGCAGGACGGCGTCGTCCTCAGCCAGGACGTGCAGCTCCTCCAGAGCATCGCCCCCTCGACCCAGGGCCTCGGCGCGCGCAGGCTGGTGCGCGTCAACCTGCCCAACGAGGCGCGCCACGTCAGCCGCGTCCACGCCATCATCGAGTGGATCCCCTTTATCCACCGCGGCGCCCCCTCGACGTCGGACGCCGGGCCCTCGGCACCCGCGGGCACCTACATTGTCCGCATCGTCGGTCAGAACGGCCTCATCGTCGATGGCAAGCGAAGGAGGGAAGGCCAGGTTCTGCGCCTCACCGCGGGCAGGTCGACGCTCGACTTCTTCGGCGTCAAGTGCCGCTTCCAGGCCCGGGCGCCGCCGTCCGCCAAATCAGTCGAGGCGACGACCCGCGGCCTTGCGGCAGGGCGTACGGCCGTCGGCCTGTCGCCTGTCAAGCGCCTCTCGTTTGCCCAGCTGTGGCAAGCCGACCCGACACCAGGCGCAGCGCGCCCCGTCGTTTCGTCCAGCCCGCCGCCCACGAGCGAGCTCCACTTTTCCTCTTCCTCGTCGCCCAGCAAGAGCTCGGTCGGCAGCGACAGCCCGACGAAGCGCAAGAGCCTGCAGTCGAGTGCGCCGCCGTCTGCCGCCCCTCGCAACAAGGCGGGCGCTGGCGAAGTCCTCAAGGCCGGCGCCGATGCCCAGCGACGCCTCATGATCGGAGCCAGCGACGACGAGGGCGGCGAAGACGACGAAGACGAAGACGAGGATGACGAGGACGACGACGACTACGTTCCGGAGCCCGTGTCGACGTCGCGCAAACCCTCAGAGGCCCGGTCGACGCAGCTCGACGACGCGCCGGCCTCGCGAGCGGCCACGCCGTCGACGACGGCGACCGTGCAAGGGCAGGCTGCCAAGGCCAAGGCGCCGCCGCCGACGACGGCCAAGAGGGCCTCGCCTGGCCACCTGACCGAGTCTCAGACGCGCATGCCTCCGCCTGCGGTGGCGGTGACGGCGCGACGCTCCGTGTCGCGGAGGTCTGCCAGCAACAGCCCGGCGCCCGGCTCGCCGATGCTGGGCGGACCGGCCCTGGCGACGGTCCAGGACTGGCAGGGCCTGGCGCGGCGCTGCGTGCGGCTGCTGGCGCCGACGTACGACCTGGCGGGCCTGCTGGTGGGCGCCATTGTCTTCCACCGCACCGCCACAATCAGCGCGTCCGAGGCGGTCCGGTCGGTGCTGG